CCCCAAAACCCCAAAACCCCAAAACCCCAAAACCCCGCTATTTGGTCAAAAATTGAGAAAACAAAGGGTAGTTATATTTATATTTAAATTTTATTTCTTAGGTAAGAAGCTTATATTTCTTCACTACTTTCCTCAAGTCCTTGCTTGAGTTCTTAACTGAGGATGCAAAGATTTAAATTTATACTATAGAGACTAAAGATGATGAACTACTGGTAAGCCAAAAACTGTGAACACTTACAGGGAAAAGAGGTTCAAAGAGCTTGATGATGACAACCATATTTATGGAAGAACTCAACAGAAACATGTCAAGGTTAGTCTGTATACTTACAGCTTAGAGACCACAATCTTCGATGAGTAGGAAAGGAAAACCTTCAAGTGTTGCTAAACAAATACAGAGACAGAATGAGCAGCTACTCAGAAGCGCATCAAAATCAACACTGAAGTCAAGGGTCTCCGATGCTAACCGAAGTGTACTAGACCATGTCCCAAATCATTTTGAGACTGATAACTCAGGTAAGATCCTTTTCTTTTTGATAAAATTCCCCTTATGGAGCTTAAATGTGTAGGTTTTGTAATTTTATCATTATAGGTTCCCTAAATCATCAAAGTTCAAGAGACAGAATAACCGAGCCCTCTATGCACACAAATTTTACCAGACTAAATACTGAGGGGCAGGCTCTAGATGATACATGTGCAAGCTCAATAAACTCTAGGAACAAAGCTGCTTGGCTTAGGAAGATGCTTCACAGTAGAGCTGATTATGAAAAAGCCAAAGCTAGACTAGGTATTGATGTTGGTGATGACTTTGTGCCTAACTATAATCCTTCTCAAAGTGTTAGGAATACTAGGTTATCTTTGAACACATTGGCTTTGCTGAACCCAACAACGAAGAACACCTCCCCACTGAAAAGGTCCAGAAGCAGGTCCGACCAACGAGAAATCTCAAAGATCTCAAACGGAATCTCTATTATCAAAGAAGAGGATGATTCTTTCTCAAAAGAGCCAAAGAAGATACCAACTCGTAGCATCAAAGGCCTGGTAGAGAAATATGTCCAAAGAGAGCTAGCAGCTTCGGCCAAATACGGTGCAGGTGATATTAGCGATGTCCACCTTCGCAGACTTGTTGAAGAGTCTCTTGGAAAGCAAGAGTTGTTACAATACCAAATCAAAGGTAACTTTTAATGAATCTAACACATTCTAGATCTCTTCAAGATCGTAGAAGGAGAAGTCCCCACTCTCTCAAACATCAGCGATCTTATTGAATCAGCTGTTAACAGAAAAGTCGATAGAATGAACATTGAAGAAAAGGTAGAAAGGATGGAAAACCAGATCAAAGCTCTTGTTGGGCATTACAAAGCTGATCATGATCACACCACAGAACAGATTTTGAACATCCAAGGTGAGTTAGAAATTTTTTATAATGACTTACCACTTCTGATTGCTTAACCTTGAATAGATAACATAGAAGCTCTCAAAGATGACATGACTGGAAGGATCTCTTCTCTAGAATATGATATCGCTAAGTACGAAAACAAGAGTAAGACTATAAAATTACCTATTCAGAAGATGCTATCCAAGGCATTAACATGAGGCTCCACAACATTGAGGCTGAGTTGGACCAATTCAAGATAAGGACTGATACCAACATCAATGAAGTCCACAGAAGAGTTGATAGCAAGATATTTGTCAAAAATAGAGATGGGCCAAGGTCCTCTCACTTACCTTATAATCTCACCGAAGGAGACATTGCTCACAAAGGTAAATAATTCGTCATGTTGAATTTAACCTAGTCTAGCTGATTCGTCAGAGGTCAGAGATTTATCAGATAATCTATTCAATGTAAGCTCATTAGCATAACTTCTAGACCCAAAAGGAGTTCTTTACAGGGATTCAAGCTCTTAGAAAGCAAGTAGACTGCATCAGCAGGGATCTTTACGAACACAAGAGAGATTTCTCACCTTTGTCCAGAATTGATGAGAAAACTAAGACAAAGAGTCTCAAAAAATCCAGGAAGACTAAGAACATAGAAATTGAAGAGCAAAATATAAGGGACTTTTCTCCAATTATTGAGAGACAGAAGGAAAGAGAAAAGATTGCAGATGAAAGACTTAATAGAAGCATGACAGTGAGATATCAGTCTATCCTGAACGAGTACAAAGGATCTGCCCTTGCTCGCCAAGGGCATGGATTTATTCACGGTAGAGATCCCAGAGCTGAAAGTATCCCACCGTTAGGTATTGTGACTGAAAGAACAAGACCAAGAAGTTCGGATCCAAGATCAAGTACTGTGGTACCCCTCTGCGGCAAGCATAGGCACAGTGATTATCCTTTGCATGATCCTAGGAATCAATTATATGAGACTATTCTAGAGGAGCCTAATAGAAGAACTGTTCTACGTAACAGATCGCTTAGCCATCTGAGGTAAGTAATCATTCTAATCTTATAGAGGAAGCAGCCCCAGTGGAGCGTCTTTCACAGATCTTGAAAGCAGAGCCACTAACAAAAAGAGAGTCGACAACTTGTTCGAACCGGCTAAGAACAAGCAGGATGAGAAGAAGAAAACCCAAAGCAAGGGTAAATTCCAGGAGCACAATAGAAGATCATCCGATTTAAGTTTTGGAGACAAAGATTAGCTTTTAAGAAAGCATTCAAGAATTATTTAGCTTAACGGGGTTTTGGGGTTTTGGGGTTTTGGGGTTTTGGGG